GATACTGTAGGTCTACCCATCAATTCAAGATGGAACTTTGTATCATTCACTGAATATACTGCAAAATTCACCTGAGCTCTGTAGACAGGTCTTCCATGGCTGTTTGACCCTGCTGGGACCCCTATCACCATCTGATCCTGCTTAGACATGATGAGCATAGTATTGTGTACTGACTGCACTAGAGGGCTGCATTCCCGTGGGATGCCTGCGGGACCTGTGGGTCCCGACAGAGATCATTGCGGCGCGGTCTGCATTTTTCATGCTGCAGGCGGGAGCGGGCAGTCAGACAGGCGACTTCGAGATGAAAATATTTTTGTTGTCCCACAGATTATTTTGTAACGGTCCTCTTTCTGCTTTGTATGCTTTAGCCTACCTATTGTATTAAAAACACATATTTTTTCGCGTTATTCACACACACAATTCGCTGCTTCAACTTCAGTTGCCTACCTCTCCTAGTTGGGCGTTAGAGTTCAAGTGCACCTAGTACGTGTGGTCTCGTTGAAATAGAGTAGTCTGTCTACATGGACGGAGAATCACGTGGCAGTTAACTTGAATATGGAGTTAACTTAAATATGATTAGACTGTAGTTTACTACAGTGTCTGTAAATAAATATTGATAATGAAAAGAAGTAAGAAGTGGAGGGTGCTCAACCAACGTGAGTCGAAGTGCAATCAAAAAAGGTAATCATAATTGAAAAGGAAAAGGCACAACGTGCACATAGGTTAGGCTATTATGGTGAGCGAGCGTTGCGCCTTTGCATTTTCAATAAGTATGGATTACCCATTAATTTTTTTCTGCCTGCAAATCGTCCTCTTAAAAGGTAGGCTATATCCTATAGGACTATGCAAAACAAAGCAAGTGTTGCTGTCATCATTCTTGCTGCTTCCAGTTCAGTAGCCATACCTGCGAGATCAGGTGCGCGTGTGGTCTCAATTAAATAGAGTAGGCTATAGCCTATGTATACATGGGCAGAGAAGCACGGGACCGTTCTCTTTCCAAGGAAATGTACTTCCTAAATAGGCCTATGATTAGGCTATAGTTTACTACATTGCCTAGAAATAGGCCTAAATATTGATCATCCATATTTCTCCGTCTGAAAATCTTCCCACTCCTAAAAGGTAGGCTATAAAAATAGCTCAAGAGAAAGTGCAAGTCTCTCCAACTCTGCACTCTTCAAACTACATCTAGCATATCGGGCGTGAGCGGGATGAAGTAATGGGTCCTGTGCAGACCTCTACTGTGCACCATGGCAGTGAAGCCTGTAACGTTAGAGCTGTTTATTACTGTGTCCGTGTGAAAAGTAGGGAATTAGCTAGGAAAACTTGACAGATCAATAATGTTACATTGCCATACTGACTAATACAACTCACATTGCACTGAAAAAACGTCAGAATATCAATTTTCAATCGTTTGGCCGATTGGTTTCATCGTTTGATTCAGATCTAGTTTGATTGAGGCAAAAATAATAGCTAATGTAAGCTAACTTTTGGCCAGCTCTAATGGTACATCAACTGGCAAAAGCTTGCCAAGTTCATTTACTTTTGAAAAGGGACAAAACAAAGGCTACAAAATATTTCCATGCAAGCAACTGCTGTTAGATAGTAATAATAGCCACCTCATGTCGCTATCTGACAGATAACTAGAGGCTAGAGCTGACCTGGCTGTTGTAGTTACTCACTAGCATAGCTTATTCATTCACCTCAGTCGAGAGGGGATGAAACATTAGCTAACATTACATGTAATTTACAATGCTAGCTCAGCACTGCAAATAAACACTAGTTTAGATTTTTCTGTTAAGTTAAACAGCAGTTACTTTGCCAGCTGCATCAGTCAACTAAAGAGTAGCCCGTTTCTGTTCTGCTTCCTTTTACGACTCGGTGAAAGAGCGCAACACGTACACACTGAACTATGCTCAACTCTCCCGTGCTGGTCCAGCCAGCCTTCCAGAAACTTTGCCTTCACACAGCCTGTCAGCCTGCTCTGTGGTGTCCGCACGGTCCTAAATAGAGTCGGATAAACACTCCAAACAGCCTACCCGACTGCTCGGAGGTGTCCGCATGGTCCTAAAGCACACTGTTGTCGAGTTTTGTATTTTACATTTACATTTTTGTCATTTAGCAGACGCTCTTATCCAGAGCGACTTACAGTTAGTGAGTGCATACATGAATTGTGTATATATATATATATATATATATATTTTTTTTTTTTCATACTGGCCCCCCGTGGGAATCGAACCCACAACCCTGGCATTGCAAACGCCATGCTCTACCATCTGAGCTACTTCCTTGTATCACATTCCAATTATAAAACTGGGGGAACGCAAATTCAGAATGTGGGTTAGACGTGTCCCCCCGTCCCCAGTGAAAGTTGCGCCCCTGGGTGCAGGAGCTCCACAATACTTTTGAGCTAATATTCTATAAGAGGAACAGGAGCTCAAGCAGTAGAACATTTGAGGTGCCAGGACTCAGCTCCGGTGAGCTCCTGCCCAAGCACAGCTTCTTATCCCTTGCGCAAATAGCCTACAGCTGTGTCTGTCCTGAGCTCAGCCCAGAATATTTTATAAAATGTTGCTAGTTTAAAAATTTTTGCTAGTTTTAAGTTTAAAAATGTCAGCCAATCGATTGGTCAAAAGAACAGACGACTTTCGGTCGACCAAGATTTTTTGGGGTCGGGGACAGCCCTAATTCCCAGAGTTTGAGAAGCTCCCCACAGGGAGGCGGTTTACATTGACATTTTAGTCATTTAGCAGACGTTCTTATCCAGAGCAACTTACAGGAGAAATTAGGGTTAAGTGCCTTGCTCAAGGGCACATTGACAGATTTTCACCTAGTCTGCTCGGGGATCCGAACCAGCAACCTTTCGGTTACTGGCTAACGGTCTTAACTGCTAGGCTTCCTTCCGCCGGTTTAGGGTACTTGACGGCTACTAAGAATATATACAAAGTGTAATTTGTCCCAAGTGCAATAAGCATACTAAATGTTAGCTACAGATTGTTACACCAGAAAATGTGATTTAACCAAAGATTTTGGTATCCATTACTGGGAGTTGCAGGATAGGTACTGTTTGGTGTAGCACAGATCATTTTCTACCAACCTTAACTTGGCGATACTATCTTGGTTCTCGTTTCGACAAAACATGTATCTTCTAAAATGTCCGTGTCCAGTTGCAAGTGGAGCGTTTTAATTTAGAAAATGCTCCGTTATTAAAATAAATGTTTTGCTCCATTTTAAGTAATCCAACAATGTATACGCCGCCATCTTGTCTGTTTTAAAATGTTTTACTCATTGATCGAGACAGGTGAGTGTCATCATGACATGGCACTTTGGGGTGGACCTAGCTCTCAAACTCTAGGTGGCATTCTGCCTGGAACTGAGAGTCCTGACCAAGGGCTAGGGTGACCCACCTGTCTCAACCAATGAGAGAAGATTTGAAATAGACCAATGACTCAACAGATATGCATTTAGAACTGCACTGGCACTGTAGCACTTTTGTACTTTGTATGGTTTACAAAGTACAAAATGTATCTCGAGAATGATATGCTCATGATGGTGTATTAATGTCTGTCTTGATGTGGTGAAGCCAAATACATATTTCCACATTGCGTCGACATTAACGTTTTTCTAATTCAAATTGAGAAATGATTTAATTGAAGGTGGACTAGGCTATTTGTGACATTTTGTCCTTACCCAGGCCTCCTTTTAAGACTCCATAATGTTTCATTTGTAGGTGCTACAAAGTAAACATTAGTGTCATATGTAACTTTACCGCTTTACATTTCTAACAGTTTGCTTACATATATGAATATTGACAAATATAAACATGAATATTGAAAATATACCATTTTCTATTTTGCAAATGTTTCTATATATTGTTGAACATAAAATACTACATAAAATACTACTCATGTTACAAGGCAAGTGGTGAAGTTTCATATGACGCTTACTTTTGCTTTGTAGCACCTACAGATTATGGAGTTTTAAGAGGCCTGGGTAAGGACAAAATGTCACAAATATTCCAACTTCAATTAAATATTTCTTAATTATGGTTTAAGATAGAAATGTCTAATATATTTCAAGAATCCTTCTTCCAAAAGGAACCTTCTATGGATTACATTTCGTGAAAATCCCAAAAATCATGGTCTTGTTTTGTTCTAGTTTCGTGAGGAATCAAATCAAATCAAATTGTATTTGCCACATGCGCCGAATACAACAGGTGCAGACATTACAGTGAAATGCTTACTTACAGCCCTTAACCAACAGTGCATTTATTTTTAAGTAAAAAAGTAAAATAAAACAACAACAAAAAAGTGTTGAGAAAAAAAGAGCAATAATAAAAATAAAAGTATAATTGTAAAGTGGTTATCCCACTGGCTATAGGGTGAGTGCACCAATTTGTAGTCGCTCTGGATAAGAGCGTCTGCTAAATGACGTAAATGTGCCCTTGAGCAAGGCACTTAACCCTAATTGCTCCTGTAAGTCGCTCTGGATAAGAGCGTCTGCTAAATGACTAAAATGTAAATGTAAATCTTATGTTGGCCTATTTCCCTGATGTTAACTTCTCCATCACTCCAGACCCCCAGCAGCTCACTCTCCCTGTCCCTGAGGAGGTTCCCCCTGAGCAGCAGCACTGTGAGCAGGAGTGGACCCCAGGTCTGGGGCAGGAGGACTCAGACCCCACACAGATTAAAGAGGAACAGGAGGACCCAGAGCCCACACCGATTAAAAAGGAACAGGAGGAGCTCAGGACCAGACAGGAGGAAGAGCAGCTTCAGGGGCTGGAGTCTGATATCAAAGAGATCATATTCACTCCTTCCTGTGTGAAAAGTGACTGTGATCAGGACCCCCCTCAGCCCTCACATCTTTCCCAAACCCTAACAATGCAGACCAGAGCGAGGGACTTAGTATGCATCAGCACAACTACAGAGATGGAAACCGAACCTGATGGCAAGGATTACAGAGGATCAGAATCAAACAATTACTCTCAGCCCTTCCCTGGAGTAAATGGAGCTCAATGTGAAGTCAGTGAAAATGCTGATGGGGGGGTGCCAGTGTTAAAACTACTGCCAGCATTAAAGCTACTCAAATCAAAGAGAACGCGGATAAATGAGAGACAAAATTCTGATACCTCTGTGGAGGGATGGAAAACCGAGGTGTTGCCCAATCAGAAATCAGCCAGTCACGGCAATGCTGCTCCTTGTTGTTGCAAAGTGTGTGGGAAGTCTTTTAAATTTTTGGTGGGTTTAATTAATCATGCGCAAACAGTACATGCAAATGATGCAAAACATATGTGTAGTGTGTGTGGAAAAAACATGAACTCCTCTCAATGTATGATAGAACACCAACAATCTCACATTGCAGAAAAACCTTTTTGTCATATTTGTGGCAAATGTTTCCATTGTAATGCTAAACTGAGAACGCATATGCGTGTCCACACAGGAGAGAGGCCATATTGGTGCCAAGAATGTGGCAAAGGCTTCAGGCAGCAGCAAAACCTTAAAGAGCATATGAGGACTCATACAGCGGAGAAACCGTATCGGTGCGAAGAATGTGGCAAATGCTTCAAACACTCGAGCAGCCTGACTGTGCATATGAGGAACCACACAGGGGAGAGACCATATAAGTGCCATTTTTGTGAGAAATCCTTTGTCTCAGCAAGTAAACAAAGTCTCCACCAACAGATTCACATTGGGAAGAACTGGACACTGTTTCAATGCAGCGAGTGCAGTAGAAGCTTTAGTCATGTGGGGACCCTGAGAAAGCACATGAAGAATATGCACAAACGGTGCCCCCAATTCCAAACCAACACCGCACCCCTAACGACTCACTTTGCGTTCCTTCCGATGTTACCTGTTGCTGACAAAATTCAAGAGGATCACTTTCAGAATGGAGATTCTAATTAGCCCCTAACCCCTCAAGAAATGTCACTGTAATGTACACGGTACCCCCTGTATAGAGCCTCGTTACTGTTATTTTATTGTTGCGCTTTAATTCTTTGTTACTTTTATTTTTTAATTTGTATTTATTTATTGTTTACTTCAGTTTATTTAGTAAATACTTTCTTAAAACGTATTTTTTCTTAAAACTGCATTGTTGGTTAACGGTTTGTAAGCAAGCATTTCACTGTTGTATTCGGTGCATGTGACAAATAAAAATTGATGTGAATTTTTTTTGTACACAGAACCATGTTGTGTGATACATTTACATCTTATCCAGTGTGTTCATCTTAAGGCAAGCTTTCCCAAAGTTGGTCCTGGGGCCGCCCCTGCGCAAAAAACAAAACGGGGGGGAACAGACTTTGGGAATCCCTGTCTTAAGGTAACTAGGTGAGACAAGACAACCACATATCACAGTCATAGTAAGTTTTAAAAAATATCAAGATGCTGTAAATCAATATAGATACATATAGTGACCACTGAACTGCTGTTACTGTAGGATAGACATAGACATAGTGTTTTTTTTTGTTTTGTTTTTTAATTCATCGTTTTTTTGTCTACCAAGCTGAGAATATATGGAAATTCTGTGCTGTGTCACGTTTTAGGATGTTCATGTAATGGTGTTGTTATTGAGGCATAGTTTTGTCTGTAATATCTCTGCTGTGTGAAAATGGAAAATAAAAAGTTTAAAAAATAAGCGGTCTCCTTTGCCTTTTGCCTCAATGTAGCTGAGCAAATGTTATAATAAAATAGATATTGAATTGCAATCATTTTGAAAATGTAGTGTATGCTTAGGCTACTTATTAAGGCATTTATATCTATTACAGGATTAACTGAATGGATAACAGAGACTGAATGCAATATGTCATTTTATTAAATAGTTTGGGGAATGGCCTTGTCTCCGAGGGAAGATCCTCGGAGCCAGATGATGTGATTGCAGGTAACCCTATGCGAGGCGGCTGGTATCGAAACCCCCGCTAGGAGAAAGAAGTTCCAATAACGGGCCTTTATAAGGTTATTATAGCTGGTCGGGGAGGTGTAGGGTTGTCAAACTTTTGCTGTAACACAGCAATTAAGAGAACTTGGGTAAGTTTGACATATAAATACATTGCAAGATTTACTCCCATTGGTTGAGATAGAGAAAGGTTATAATTGCGAGAGAGAGCAGATATGTTAAACAGCTAAATCTTGCAATCATTGTGCCATGCTCATAGGTTATAAGATAAATAGGTGAATGACATTTCCCACGTGGCTAATAGAAAAGAGAATAGATAGGACACTATGCTGATGAGAACATTTGTAACCTCTTAACATATACATTCCCACTATGCACATAGAATAGGAAAAATTTGCATTATATATTGCATAATGTATTAAGTTAAAGCGAGCATTCAGACCAGCTTAATGATTGAACTTTCGTAAACTACATTGAGTATGAGGATCAGGATTTTTACATTTACGTCATTTAGCAGACGCTCTTATCCAGAGCGACTTACAGATAGTGAGTGCATACATTATTGTTTTATTTTTCATACTGGCCCCCCATGGGAATCGAACCCACAACCCCGGCGTTGCAAACGCCATGCTCTTCCAACTGAGCTACATCCCTGCCGGCCATTCCCTCCCCTACCCTGGACCAATTGTGCGCCGCCCCATGGGTCTCCCGGTCGCGGCCAGCTATGACAGAGCCTGGATTCAAACCAGGATCTCTAGTGGCACAGCTAGCACTGTGATGCAGTGCCTTAGACCACTGCACCACTCGGGAGGATGAGTTATAAAGTCCTCAATATCCAAATTCCAACTCTGGGCTATTTCCATCACTGTAAACAACTTAATCTGCTGTCTAATGGAAGTGAGATGGCCATTTTTTTAGCACTGAAAAAGGCCTAAAAAGGAGCTTTACAGCCCACTTTACACCAAGACACACCCCGAAACTTAAAAGAGAAACAACCCACCTGGCCAGGACGGTCAAACCCCATATACATTTGGTGTTAAATCTTGGTCAGCTTTATTCTTCAGCATGATTGATTGGTTAAATCAGCTCTATTCCCCATTTTAGCCAACCCTAACCCTTTTCCTAACCTTAACCTAATTCTCCTAACCTGCTACAAAAAGTCAATTCTGACATTGGTTATGTTTAGAAGGGGTATAGCCTTACAGCAGTGGACAATTGTCCTTCAATGTTCTAAATTATTGTCTCTAACCACGTTTCCATCCACAGTTTTTATGAGTAAAGTCATACGGTATAATAAAAAAAATCACAACAGCTGTGATGGAAACAGGAAGTTTTGGTACAATGTTATAAATGCCAACAAATAATTTGTTCGTTTGACATGGTGGGATATTTTTGTGTCTGTAAAATGATTAAGCGTGAAATAGTGCTGGAAACGCTTTTATGTGCAAATATTGATATAATAACCATCATATCGAAGTAAACTTGAAGTCACACGATGACATGTTGTGTCGTCCTCCAATTACGACTCGTCAGGAAAGGAATGCAGTTTATAGGCAAGGCTACAGATTAAATCAATTATGATGAACTTCACAGGGTGGTGAAAGCACAAGGTGATGAGTTTGATGCAAGGTGATGAGTTTGATGCTCCTTTCCAATAAATATCGAGGTGGCATGATGATCGATGCTTGACAAATAATTTTGTTGGGAAAATGACCAACATTCATCTACTCTCACGCTTATTGCCCTCTGCTGGTAGGGTTTCGGTACCGCAAGATCGTCGCTCTTTGTATACCACGTGACTAAATGCAGAGCGGGTCGTCCACAGAGTTTTAATCTTTGGTTCGTCACTCCCGCCATCTTTGTTTGAGCAGAGCTACCGCGTGAGCAGAATAGCATAAACGTATTGACTTCAATTTCCCTCAAAATGTCCAAACTACAGCTGTTGAATGAGTTTCTCTCACAGCGCTTGACGGCGGCAACTATTGAGATATTTGGGGCAGTGGAAAAAACGATAACAGAGTACCAGGAAGAAATCTCCAGTTCAAAGGAGGAGATCGAACGTCTACAGAGGCTTCTGGATGTGGCTTTGAAACCCGACATAAAGTTACATAAAGCAGGTTAGTAGTGGCCACTGCTAACTAGATTATAAAAAACAGGAGGGTGGTATGCACATCCTAAACTTGAGTAACGGGGCTGGGCTAAACAATTATATAGATAAATAATTGAAAGTCCCGCACACGGTAGTTGCTCCCCAGTGTTTTTGGGTGCGGTAAAGCACTGTGGAGCGACTAGCTAGCTAGCTGGCTATATTACGTGTGCGGGCCTTTCTTTATCACTAACATTACTAGATCAATGACATGGCTAGAGTTGTTGCAAAGACAAGTGTTGCAGTCAGGCCGCCAACAACTGTAAACAAATTTTATGAAATATATAAACAAAAATGCATTTCTGCCACGAACTGAATGTTTATATAATTTACCCTCCAGACGCCCAGCAGCTCACTCTCCCTGTCCCAGAGGATGTTCCCACTGAGAAGCAGCACTGTGAGCAGGAGGGGAGCCCCAGTCTAGACCAGGAGGAGCCAGAGCCCACACACATTGAAGAGGAGGTCAGGACCAGTCAGGAGGAGCAGCAGCATCAAGGACTGGAGTCTGACATAGAGTTCATATTTACTCCTCCCTGTGTGGAAAGTGACTATGATCAGGACCCACCCCAGCCCTCACTAACCACCAACACAACTGAAGAGATGGAAACCGAACCAGAGGGAGAGAAAAATGGGGCATCATTAACAACGAGTGACTTCCAGTCCCCCTCTGTTGCAAATCCAGGATCCCCTGCAGCACAGAATAACACCAGTGGAAGTGTTGATGTAGTGGCGAGTGGAGGACTACTGTCAGCGTTGGGGTTAGTACGGACAACCGGTATGCAAGCAAGTGTTGGAGGCCGGAGAACCAAAAAATTACCCCACAAGAAAGTACAAAGCCCCCATTCCAGTGCAGTAAGCAGGAAAACTACCAAGTTACCCCTTAAGATAGTGCAAAGCCCTGATACCAGTGATGGAGGCAAGAAGGCTACCAAGTTGCCCCTAAAGACAGTGCAAAGCCCTGATACCAGTGCAGTAGGCAGGAAGACTACCAAGTTACCCCTCAAGACAGCGCAAAGCCCCGATACCAGTGTTGGAGGCAGGAAGACTACCAAGTTATCCCTCAAGACAGTGCAAAGCCCCGATACCAGTGTTGGAAGCAGGAAGACTACCAAGTTACCCCTCAAGACAGTGCAAAGCCCCAATACCAGTGTTGGAGGAAGGAAGACTACCAAGTTATCCCTCAAGACAGTGCAAAGCCCCGATACCAGTGTTGGAAGCAGGAAGACTACCAAGTCACCCCTCAAGACAGTGCAAAGCCCCAATACCAGTGCAGTAGGCAGGAGAACTTCCAAGTCACCACGCATAAGAGGAGAGGAGACTGGAGGACTACGGTCAGCACTTGGGTTAGTTCGGACATTGAGAGCACGGGTCAAGAAAGAACAAAGCTCTCCTACCAGTGCTGAAGGCAGGAAAACTAAAAAGTTACCCCACAAGAAAGGACAAAGTTCTCTTACCAGTGCTGGAGGCAGGAAAATCACCAAGTTACCTAAGGTAACATCACCAAGTAAAAGCCATACTGCTCCTCATTGTTGCAAGATGTGTGGGAAGTCTTTTGTTTTCATGACTTATCTAGTTAGTCATGTGCAAAAAATGCATTTAAAGGATAAATACCATCTTTGTGGGGTTTGTGGGAAAGATTTTAGGTCCACAGATAGTATGGTGAAGCATTTGCAAACCCACATGGGAGTGAAGCATTTTTGCCACGCCTGTGCTAAAGTCTTCACTTGTAGTTCCAACCTGAAAGTGCATATGAGGATCCATACAGGGGAGAAGCCATTTCACTGCAAACACTGTGGGAAAGGCTTCACTGTGAGGAAGTCCCTGGAAGACCATGAGAAGACTCACACAGGGGAGAGGCCATTTAAGTGCACTTCATGTGGAAAATGTTTCTCATCAACAACTCATCTAAGTCGCCACCAGGAAATTCACACAGGAGAGAAACCCTATCAGTGTAATGATTGTGGGAAAAGCTTCAGTCGGAAGGAAAAACTTGCTGAACATATGAGGACTCATACAGGGGAGAAACCATATCCCTGCCCTGAATGTGGCAAATGCTTTGGTCTGAAGGGAAATCTGACCACCCATATGATAAGACACACAGGGGAGAAACCGTGTAGGTGCCAAGAATGTGGGAAATGCTTCTCTTTGAATGCAGACCTGAAAATTCATATGAGGACACACACGGGGGAGAAAAGATATAAGTGCAATGTTTGTGACAAATCCTTCACTCAGAAGGCATACTTGGCTAGCCACATTATGAAACACACAGGAGAGAAATAACAGGTCCAATGATTGTGTTAAATGCTTCAATCAAATGGGAACCTTGAGAGAACATGAAGCGCATTCTCAGAGTAAAAACTCCTCCGTTCATTGTGAATTTATTTTTGTTTTTTTCCTGGTGTGAGTAAATGACAATACACCACCACAGTACAAAAAGGTGAAAGAGACCTGTGTGGGGGAAATGTAAAGGTCAGAACCTGGTTTGAGAGCACATTGTACTCTATATACCATTAGGGACCTCAGAGGACGACTGGGTAGAATAAACTTAGGGTATGCATTAATAAACTTGCAGAGCATTGTAGAAAAGCAGAGTTCGTAGATTGAGTGGATTTTAAAGCAGAAGCGACAGTCCCAGCTAATTTATTATCAAATGTCACACAAGACAATTTAGTCACTATCTTCTATTAGTAAAAGCTATATTTTGTTAGATTAAAGGGTTAGTTCACCCAAATTACAAAATGACATTGGTTTCCTTACCCTGTAAGAAGTCTGTGGACAAGGTATGACGGCAATCAATGCTTTGGTTTAGTTTCCTTGGCACTGTTTTCACATGCTAACTTTTTAGCATTTTTGGCACAAATCCCATTCAAGTGAAGGGACCGATTAATAGATTTTTTTGTGAATCGTGTTCAAATAATCTATAAGTGACTGAGGTTCACAATTTGGACATGATGCGTGAAAAATGCTAAAATCGGTTCCATGACTTGAATGGGATTTGTGCCACAAACACTAAAACGTTAGCATGTGGCCTCCTGTAGCTCAGTTGGTAGAGCATGGCGCTTGTAACGCCAGGGTTGTGGGTTCGATTCCCACGGGGGGCCAGTATGAAAAAAAAAAAATTGTATGCACTCACTAACTGTAAGTCGCTCTTGGATAAGAGTGTCTGCTAAATGACTAATGTGGAAATGGTGCCAGGGAAACTAAACCAAAGCATGGATTGCGCTCATACCTTGTCCATAGACTGCTTACAGGGTGAGGACATTTGGGTGAACTAACCCTTTAAGGCTAATGGTTGTTTGATATTAATGTATCTAAATCACAGGAGGTTGGTGGCACCTTCATTGGGGAAGATGGGCTCGTGGTAATGGCTGGAGCGAAATTAGTGGAATGGTAGCAAATATATCAAACACAGGGTTTCCAGGTGTTTGACGCCATTCCATTTTTTCCGTTCCAGCCATTATTATGAGCTGTCCTCCCCTCAGCGCTGATCTATATAATACTGTATCATCAGTATCGGCTTGATTTCATCTTATGAAAATATTTGTTGCAGCAATAACAAAGATAATTTTGTACATGTTTTGTCATTGTAATGGATTGGCTTGGCGCAAATTACGTGTAGCTTTTTGTTTGACCTAACATTAGCATTTTGTGTGAAACCTATGAATATTTGTCCATTACATTTACCATTAAATAAAAAAGGTAAATGTTTGTTCTTGAAATAATAGCCTACTCCTTCAGTTTGCACCCATTGCACACAAAACATCCATAGATATCATCGATCAGAATCATCTTTATTCGCCAAATACATTTGCATGTAAAGGAATTTGACTTCGTGAAATGGTGCTGCCACAGTATACAGACCCATGATAAACAGGATATACCGACCCATGATAAACAGGATATACAGACCCATGATAAACAGGATATACAGACCCATGATAAACAGGATATACAGACCCATGATAAACAGGATATACAGACCCATGATAAACAGGAGATACAGACCCATGATAAACAGGAGATACAGACCCATGATAAACAGGAGATACAGACCCATGATAAACAGGATATACAGACCCATGATAAACAGGATATACAGACCCATGATAAACAGGATATACAGACCCATGATAAACAGGATATACAGACAGCTTAATAGAAGCAGAGGTTACACAAATCCACATGCGGTATGCACACTATGTACACTAATTTAAGAACTACAAGCTTCAGTATAAACACAAAGCTACATCATACACTGATTGTACAAAACATTAGGAACACCTTCCTAATATTGCGTTGCACCCCTGTTTGCCCTAAGAACAGCCTCAATTTGTCGGGGCATGGACTCTACGAGGTGTCGAAAGCGTTCCACTGGAATGCTGGCCTATGTTGACTCCAGTGCTTCCCACATTTGTGTCAAGTTGGTTGGATGTCCTTTGGGTGGTGGACCATTCTTGATACACACGGGAAACTGTTGAGCGTGAAAAACCCAGCAGCGTTGCAGTTGTTGACACTCAAACCGGTGCGCCTGGCACCTACTACCAAATCCCGTTCAAAGGCGCTTAAATATTTTGTCTTGCCCATTCACTCTCTGAATGACATACACACAATCCAGGTCCCAATTGTCTCAAGGTTTAAAAATCCTTCATTAATCTGTCTCCTCCCTTCATTTACACTGATTGAAGTGGATTTAACAGTTGACATCAATAAGGAATCATAGCTTTCACCTGGATTCACCTGGTCAGTCTGTCATGGAAAGAGCAGGTGTTCCTAATGTTTTGTACACTCAGTGTACATTATGTATGTAGAGATGTATGAATTTAAAAAAAACGTTTACAGGATGTATCTGAAGACGAGTCTGGTGCAGAGTGCAAAGAGCAATGTCCAGTTCTAGGATGATAGTGCAGGGTGCATAGTCCATGAATGAGAAGATCATCGTGGACCAGGTGGCCGGTTGGCAAATAATTTGAAATAGGAAATGCGTGTTTAATAAGGTCTTCTCTCTGCTCCGGCAGGGTTGCATGGCGAGCCGTCTGATAATCACTGTCACTGCAGAGGCTATAGTCGAGACATACTTTTTTTGACGTCAGTATCATGAGCGACCATGGAGGAGACATACCACTTCAATCATCTAGGTTTGTTTCTTATTAACTTAATTTTATGCATAATGAACTTGGCTATTATGATATCCAGTGGCCCAAATACCCTACTGTTGGAGTTTAATTAATGTGTCATATGTTTTGGTCAGCAAGCTGAAATAATTATTAACTCAATCAGTCATACTGCACAGCAGGTGGCGGTAATGTAGCAAGCTGTTCAACACGGCCAATAACTTCCCAGGGCAAGAGCTATAGCTGCGCATGTGTATCCGTTTATATGCATTTGCGAGCAGAAATGCAATAAATTCAATGAATATTGGTGATTCTGTGGATTAAGAGATACATAACATTAATCTATCTGAAAATGTCCAAACTGCAGCTGTTGAATGCGTTTCTCACCGAGCGATTAACTGCGGCGGCTGTTGAGATATTTGGGGCAGTGGAAAAAACGATAACCGAGTACCAGGAAGAAATCTCCAGTTCAAAGGAGGAGATCGATCGTCTACGAAGGCAACTGCACATCGTTACCCAACCGAAGATAAAGTTACATAAATCAGGTTTGTGGCCAGCTACCTACCATTACAGATAGGCCTAGTTATTAATTATGCTACAACATTAAATAAATTACACATTGATTGCGTTCCAGGTAGCCTGTCGCGCTGTGCACGATAATCTGATACCACCTTTCGGGTAGCACACGCTAGTGTAATATCTCAGGAAGCAAATATACTAAGCGATTTTCTGAGATTCACAGATCGACTGCAATAAAGATACCATGGCATGCAAATACTGTTGGCTGATTAAATAATCTGTGCAAGCCTCTAGAGTTTTTACAACACACCCATTCATTTATTAACAAAGTGAATATTTTAAAATGTTAGTGTCAGGGCTCATATGCCTAAAATTTGGACAGATTACATCTCATCTTGTCACTACTATGAATATGGAGATCTAGACAACTCTTTCATCCTCTGTCCTTTCTGCCAGATACCCAGCAGCTCACTCTCCCTGACCCTGACGAGGTTCCCCTTGAGCAGCAGCACCGTGAGAAGGAGTGGAGCCCCAGTCTGGACCATGAGGATCCAGAGCCCACACAAATTAAAGAGGAACAGGAAGAACTCAGGACCAATCAGGAGGAAGAGCAGCTTCAGGGGCTGGAGTCTGATACCAATATTCTAACATTTTCTCCTCCCTTTGTGAATAGTGACTGGGATCAGGATGACCCACATAAGTCCTCCCAACTTTACCACATACAAACTGTAGAGGACAGAGGGAGGGACTCACTACCTACCAGCACAATTGAAGAGATCAAAATAGAACCTGATGAAGAGGGTTACAGAGTATCAGAGCCAACCAGTGTCTCTCAACCCCTCTCTGTAGTAACCCCTTACAGCTCTGTGAGCACATTAAATATGAATCAGCTAATTGGCAATGCAGAATCAGACAAACCATTTCAGTGCAATGTATGTGGCAAATTCCTCAAGCGGGAGAAAAGTCTTATTGTGCATATGATGGGTCATGCAGGAGAGAAACCATTTACATGTCCTTTATGTAACAAAGGCTTTGTTGCGGTAGGCACTTTAAAGACGCATATGAAACTTCACACAGGGGAAAGGCCACACCGGTGCCATGTTTGTGGAAGATGCTTTAAACTGAAAGGAGCCCTGACGGAGCACATGAGGATACACACTGGGGAGAAACCATTTAGCTGCCATGATTGTGGCAAATGCTTCAGTCGGACGAATGCCCTTACAAATCACATGCTGCACATTCACAAGAAAAAAAGAACTTACAAGTGACCTGTGGAGAAAGAGTCAGTCTGAAAAGTAGCCTTCGATCTATATGGCACACTCAAGCCCTTTAATTGAATAAAGTATGGGTAAATATTTGAAGGAATAAACGCATGGACCATTTACTAAACAACAGGAGTTCTCATTTTATGAAGCTATAGCTAAGTAGGAGCCTTTGTCATCCGTCTATTATTCAAAACAAAATGATTGAAGACCAACATACAGTGGGAAATTTTTTTATTTAGTCAGCCACCAATTGTGCAAGTTCTCCCACTTAAAAAGATGAGAGGCCTGTAATTTTCATCATAGGTACACGTCAACTATGACAGACAAAATGAGAAAAGAAAATCCAGAAAATCACATTGTAGGATTTTTAATGAATTTATTTGCAAATTATGGTGGAAAATAAGTATTTGGTCAATAACAAAAGTTTCTCAATACTTTGTTATATACCCTTTGTTGGCAATGACACAGGTCAAACGTTTTCTGTAAGTCTTCACAAGGTTTTCACACACTGTTGCTGGTATTTTGGCCCATTCCTCCATGCAGATCTCCTCTAGAGCAGTCATGTTTTGGGGCTGTCGCTGGGCAACACAGACTTTCAACTCCCTCCAAAGATTTTCTATGGGGTTGAGATCTGGAGACTGGCTAGGCCACTCCAGGACCTTGAAATGCTTCTTACGAAGCCACTCCTTCGTTGCCCGGGCGGTGTGTTTGGGATCATTGTCATGCTGAAAGACCCAGCCACGTTTCATCTTCAATGCCCTTGCTGATGAAAGGAGGTTTTCACTCAAAATCTCACGATACATGGCCCCATTCATTCTTTCCTTTACACGGATCAGTCGTCCTGGTCCCTTTGCAGAAAAACAGCCCCAAAGCATGATGTTTCCACCCCCATGCTTCACAGTAGGTATGGTGTTCTTTGGATGCAACTCAGCATTCTTTGTCCTCCAAACACGACGAGTTGAGTTTTTACCAAAAAGTTATATTTTGGTTTCATCTGACCATATGACATTCTCCCAATCCTCTTCTGGATCATCCAAATGCACTCTAGCAAACTTCAGACGGGCCTGGACATGTACTGGCTTAAGCAGGGGGACACGTCTGGCACTGCAGGATTTGAGTCCCTGGCGGCGTAGTGTGTTACTGATGGTAGGCTTTGTTACTTTGGTCCCAGCTCTCTGCAGGTCATTCACTAGGTCCCCCCGTGTGGTTCTGGGATCATTTTGACCCCACGGGGTGAGATATTGCGTGGAGCCCCAGATCGAGGGAGGTTATCAGTGGTCTTGTATGTCTTCCATTTCCTAATAATTGCTCCCACAGTTGATTTCTTCAAACCAAGCTGCTTACCTATTGCAGATTCAGTCTTCCCAGCCTGGTGCAGGTCTACAATTTTGTTTCTGGTGTCCTTTGACAGCTCTTTGGTCTTGGCCATAGTGGAGTTTGGAGTGTGACTGTTTGAGGTTGTGGACAGGTGTCTTTTATACTGATAACAAGTTCAAACAGGTGCCATTAATACAGGTTACGAGTGGGGACAGAGGAGCCTCTTAAAGAAGAAGTTACAGGTCTGTGAGAGCCAGAAATCGTGCTTGTTTGTAGGTGACCAAATACTTATTTTCCACCATAATTTGCAAATAAATTCATAAAAAATCCTACAATGTGATTTTCTGGATTTCTTTTTCTCAATTTGTCTGTCATAGTTGACGTGTACCTATGATGAAAATTACAGGTCTCTCTCATCTTTTTAAGTGGGAGAACTTGCACAATTGGTGGCTGACTAAATACTTTTTTTCCCCACTGTACACGTTCAAGTCTACTCATTTTATTTATTTAAAAAAAGAAAAGGTTGTGGGTAAAAAAAAAAAGAAGCATATTTTATATTGGAAAAACAAAACCCACGGGATAAGAGGTGTTTACATCAGGCCAGTGACAATCATACCTGCTCTTTCTGACATGCATGCGCTGTGTGCAACTGGTGCCACATCAAACTTCCACAGCTGTATTCTTTTTTTGTAATATTCTTTTTATTGGAATTTTAGTTTCTTCCACATTAAGAGATACAACAAAAATATAAAATAACAATAAATACAATTAAAACGAACAAACAGAAGGAAATGACACACTAAAGCTCAGTTTAAATAATGGAATTAGGCCCAACACATGGAACGTACAGTATAATCATGAGACAAGTAAACAACAACCATTCTAAGAGAATCCTTGCAGCATAACAAAAATAACATAAATCAGGTTCTAGATCATTCAAATAAGGTTCCCACACTTTGTAGAGCTGATGTTTTAGAATTTAACATTGTCACTTATCCATTGTAAGAGGATGTTTTTCCTCGCTGCGACGGTAAGAATGTTGTACAGCCTCCTCTTAGCCGCAGAACTAACATTCCTATTAGGGAGAATTAACAGCAAAGGAATTGGTTTTAATTCTAGGTTGACCCTTAGAAATTTTTCAATTTCTTGAAGGACATTAGACCAGTACCTTTGTAATTGGAACATGACCATAAGCAATGTGTAAGGGTGCCTGCATCAGTTTTACATGTAAGATACTGAGGAGAAAGGGTTAAAAGCATGTCTGCAATATTTGCAATGTGCCTATTATTCTTAATTGGATTGCGCTAGTGCGATTACAGATATATATATATTGTTTTTGCATATCTCCAAATGTCCTCCCACATCTCCTCGTCAATAGTAACAGACAGTTCATTCTCCCACACTCGCTTGACCCCCTGTGTGCCTACAGTAGAAAAGGACCTTTGCATCATTAAATACAATTACAGACATTTTCCTTTGTGAGGAAAACAAGCATTCTTTCAATGACAGACACATCAGGGTTGCCAACCAAGGTGGTGCGCTTCAAAATATGTCTTCACTTGTAGAAAGTGGGAAATGTCCTGCTTTGGGAGACGATATTTCTCAACCATCTGCTCAAATGACATTAGAATCTTGTCATCAAATAAATCATTTAGTCTGCCTATGCCCTTATTAATATAAAGGTTAAAGCCAACATCCAGCAATCTTGGTACAAAATCTGTGTTGTTAAGAATCTAGGTAAGAGCAGAGGTTAGTTTGGACCTTCCCTCAAAACGTTGAACTGATCTCCATGCCTTGCGTGTATTAAGTGTAATGGGATTCTCGCAGCTATCTTTTACAGATTTGAAGCTTCTGAAAAATAAAAGATCC